CTGGATTGATGACAGAAATGTTGTTAGCAACTTTTGATAAAACACTTGTGCAAATGACTGTCTGTTACGATAAAGTTGGTTTTATAAAAATTCAAAAACGCAATAAAATAATACAAACTTCACATGGCAGCGCTGTTAGATGACAAGGAAATAAATAAAACTTATCGAAAAATAAGAGAACGATTTTATTGGCAAGGCATAAGAAATCATATTCTTAATAACGTCCGACAATGCAGTAAATGTGGAGTTGAAGCATGATTCGAAGTACTAATTCCGGTGTGTCAAAGTGGATGTTCGAGCATGGACGGTGATCAGTCCCCTCTGTGCGGGCGAGCTTGGGTGGCGCGTCGTCCGATGTGGAGCTGGAGCGTGAGTTTCGAAGAGAAGTATCGGCATGATGCGAAGTACTGATGTTAGTATGTTGAAACGGGTGTTCAATCATGAATGGCGATCAGTCTTCTCTGCGCGGGTGAGCTTACGAAGCGTTAGTCTCAAAGAAGAGTATCAGCGTGATTCGAAGTACTCATGCTGGTGTGTCAAAGCGGGTGTTCGAGTGTGGACGGCGATTAGCCTCCACTAAGCCAGTGAGTTTGAGTTGTGGCAGTGTAGTTTGATACAGTTCGGCCCGTGAACCAAAGGGTCTGATGAGTTGGTTGACCTGAACGGATTACGGACTCTGCATGTTAATGAAAGATGGCGATGCCATTTAATGATTATCTACTTCTTGAGTAAAAGAAATTTTATTTTAACAGTAATTGGGCTCGAGAGACTTTAGTGGCAATGTTACCGATAGTTAGTACAGAGGCTAATACCTGCTCCCATCCTCTTCAGAGGCTTGTTGCAAAATGCAAGAATCTGCTGTGTAACCAGTGCTCACGAGTTTCAAAGATGGCTGGTCCATCAGGTACATCATTTTTTGTTCTGCACGTTGAGTTCTGTAGGTTAGGTACGTCAAGCACCACTAGGTGTGTGTCCCCATCTAAAAGGAGTGTTGTTGATTGTGGGTTAGGCGTATGTCAGTCGGTGGTTATGGTGAACTATGTGGCTCGTGGATACCTTACTGCAGCAGCAGCGAGTTCTTGAAGAAGGTCTCACGTTAAGTGCTAAATTATTAAAACTAGCCTGTAGGGGTGGGCGACTTAGAACAGAGAGGGAGAGTTGGGGGTGGCAAGAGTATCGAGGGTGTCAGGTCAGCAGTTGAGATCCAGCAAAGGTAAGCACCCTATGCTAGAGACTCTGGGCGTAGCAAGGCAATACCTATGCTGAATTCCAATGCCACCGCTAGAGCTGGGCCACTAATAGGTGATTGGGCGGTGATTTGCAGCAGTCAAGAAAAGCCCCCAGCCAGTGTAGTTGTCTGATTCTCTAAATCATTAGATAATAGTGCTAAGGAGTGTAATCAAAAGTTGGCAAGAGTGGGTGAACAAAGACAGTTGACACACTGAGATTTTAGAGTGTAAGTGTACGTTGGTATTTATAGCATTTAAAAAGTGCTCTTGCCACTGCCATAGCGTCAGTTTCATCGAGCGAGCAAGAACTTAGCATAGACTTAGATTGGGTAATCTTGGTGGATGCTTCAGTGTCGTCACGCAGCTCTCACGCTTCTTATGTAAGAGAAGTTACTTATTACTTGCGATGTTTCCTAGAAATCTGAAGTCGCCTACTAGCAAGCCGTAGGAGGGATTGAAATTCATGAAGAGTAGTTGTTTTGATAATTAAAAATTCATAAAATAATACCCTGGACGTAACACTTGTAATATTATTTGTCTCAAAGGAGTTGTAGAAATACTACTGTCTATTGTAAATTATAAATCGTTCTAAAATAAAAATCACAAAAAGATCACCTTGCGATCTAAAATTGGCGGTTACGTCAAGCCAAAACTTAAAAACTGCGCTGTTATGAACAACACAACATTGCAACTACTAATCATCTATCCCAAAGAAAGTTTGAATCTCTTTTTAGGGTTCTCAACTGCATACAGTCATATTTTAGTAGAAACGTAAGTTCTGTTTTTTATAAGCTAGCTGTGTTCCAAAGGAATGAGGAAGCAGAGGATTTAAGTGCAAATTTTTAATTAAATCTAGGACTTATGGCATTTTTACGAGACATATGACATAAAGTACAAACAAACTTAAATATATTAAATTTTTTAGCTCCCAATCTAGCAAAAACATAAATAAGTCATGACTAAATAACATAAGTTAATTTAAAATAATAAAATTTCTGACTCTTACGTGAAAATCAATTCTTTAAGAAATAAAATCAAATCAATTCCAAATAAAATAAGAAACAATAGTTATGAATCTAATATAATAAATTTATTAACTGATAATTATAAATTGAAGGTAAAAAGCATTTTTTGCGAATATCCTTATTAGTTGGATCGAATGTTCGATGCTTGTCCCTTACATGTAGAATCCGAAGATGAATATTTTCTAAATTTCTTTCTGATCTTCTGATCAGTAATATTCCGCTGGCAAGGCCACACATGAAAAACAGTTATGAATTAAAAAATAAATTGAAGGATGTTATTATTTCTCCTAATTACACTCTAATAAGTCTAGATAAAGTTAGTTTATTATTAGTAGTAAGAACCTTAATCACAAACGCAGTAAACCATGTTTAGTAATTCTTAAATTGTAAAATCAATGTTTCTTCAAATGAATTTTGCACAGGCGTAACTTTTATTTTAAGTTCGACCTTTTTCTAATTTAACAAAAAATATTCTAAACAAGTATTTGTACCATCAATGGGTAGTCTTTGTGGTCCACTACTGGATGTTGTTATCCGTTTACTTAAAATTTCACGCTTAAATAAATTGTTTTAATGTTCCACTAGATGTATGCTATGTAGATAATGTGCTCATATGTGTGCCTACTAAATATATTAAGAAAACTAAAAACATTTTTAATAGCTATTGTCCTGAATCACAATTCACGGTTAAGACATGTACTAATAACAGCATAAGTTTCTTAGATTTAGAAATTATCATCCAACAAAATAATACAGTACTAACTAATTGGTATCAAAAACACACACACTCCAGTCAATACTTGAATTTTCTCTTCCACTATCCAATACAACATAAAGTACTTGCACAATCATATTAAGTATAATTGTGAAAAGCTTCAGATTAGTCTTGTATACAGTTTCAATAATAAGTTCAATTCAATTTCTACTCTTGGAAAGAATGTAACTGAGCCACTCGATAGAAGAAACGTTGTTTACCACATACCGTGTGCAAATTGCCACTGCTATTATTTTGGTCAAAAATCATGAGCTCTAAAATTGAGAATAGCAGAACACAAAAGAGACATGAAGGAAGAAAAGGATAGATCTATACTAACACAACATAGCATTGAATTTTCATATTACTTCAGTTTTGATAAAATAAGAATTTTAGACAGAAAAAGATTACAGAAAACGCTTTTTTCCGAAATGTTGAGTATGCATTACTTTAATAATCATATTATTTGTCAACAAGATGCAGAGAAATTGAAAAATCGTCATAAGTCTCTCGTTAAGTCAATTAAGAAAGAGGATTAACTTGATGCACATGATTTGAGGGGCCTCTTTCATTTATAATATTAGGATCACGTGTACAGTTTATGTACTTCTCACAAGGAACTGCTTGCGATTCTTATTTCATTCTATTACATGCATGTACTATGTGATTTATGTATGTGCAGGGTATAAAAGCAGCTAAACTTAAAACTCTGACTACATTACGATTTTACATCCCTTTTGTAAGAGTCAGAGGTACGTTATACACTCAAATTAATTAGCTTTTCTTGTATTTTATCAAAATTTGTATTGTAAAGAATTCTTATTACCCATAGATTTTTACACCTGATGAGGGCCGGAATGTTGTATAAACGGCCGATACGTTGTTTTGTTTTTAAATAAATACAAAATATGACAGTACTACCATTGGACGTTGTTTTCAAAACTTTGAAAGTTCAGTATCCAATGATTAATATAATTGAAAACTCTCATCAGTGATGTAAAGAATTATTTCGTCATCATTAACAGTAAAATAGTAATAATGAATTAAATAATTTTTATACTTTTGCATGAAGAAAACAAAAATTGTCTGTTTTGCCGATAGCAGATTTTTTTAAACCATTTTATCTTTAAAACAAAAAAAAAGAAAAAGAATTTTAAACAAAAAAATTTAGTTTAGGTTGACTGTGGGCAATTTTTTCTTTCGAGATTCCCAATTTTCTTTCTCACATGCGGAATCATTTATTTACCGTCACGTGTTTTAATTTTTTCCTGTTCCATACTCTGTTTTATTCTTGCTTATCGACTCAGAGTTCTTAATATTTTTTCAAACATTTGATCACGTAGGATTGCTTGTTCTCTTTATCACGTATTTTGTCTCTGTTTATAAAGAAAGTACTTTTTTTCCCACTTGAATTTTGTTGTTCATTGGCTCGACCACCATTTTTTGTATGTTTTGTGTTTGAGTTTTAAAATTAACTCATTGTCCTAAATGCCAGAAAAAAAATATAACGAAGTGTCTTTGTAAATGAAAAATTCTAAATATCATAATTTTTTGCATTTTGGAATATAGCCCACAAAAACAAATTCTTTATTAAAAAAACAAACGTAATTTTGTGCTAACTACAAGTATTATAAGAAATAATTTTGGTTCTTTTCGTAATTTTTTTTTTTTTTTATTAAATTCATCACTTAATATAATTTCTTATTTTGACTTATCAAAAAACTTTTCATGTAAAAAAATGGTTAGAGAACTACTCCATTATACTTATTGGGCAGCTATTAAATGCATACGACAAGTATATGTTGACAAGTACATGCAGGAAGACAAATATTTTTTTTCAATTTCTTTTGATACAAAAAGAGATAAAATGAATGTTATGTAGAAGAATTTGTCATTATAAAAAAGACTTTTGTTTTGGAACGTGTTGCATTTATTTTTAAATGAGGAAGCAGTAGTAATTAAAAAGAAATTAGTATAAGTGATCAAAGATACCTTTCCATGATTGTTGAAGCCATACTTGGTAGCTACATTAGCTGCAACTTTATCCCCAGCAGGTACATATACAGCAAAGAAATTTAAAAAAATAGGTCTTAGTCGATCATTTGTTTTTGAAGAGACCAACGAAAAATTAATAACATTAAGTAAAATAAATGTAATCACACTAGTTTTCATATTTATTTTGTTTTTGTAATGGATAACGCCTTATGGTTACTTGAATATCTTGATAATCGTCTGGCTAAAGCAACAATTTAAGTTGCAATAAATATGAACAACTGGAAAATAAACCATTCTTTGTTCTCCATTCAAGTATCTGAAAAAATAATAAAGAACATCATAGTACTGTCCTGGTTAGTTCAAAGAATTATTAATGAATAAAAATTACAAAATATTAAATTATAATACGCAGAAAAAATTAAATCAATGCTTAGGTGCTAAAAGAGATTTATTTATCACATAATGACAATGGTTGTGATCTTTAAAGCTTCTGCTCTAGGTTATTAAAGCTTTAAGTAGTAGTGGAACTTTAAAACAATATGGAATAAAGCTATTTAAATCAATATAAAAATGAAGGAGACATAATACATATATCTTCATATTAAATAAGGTATGCGTTATTGCTTAGAATGATAAAGTAATTTTATAACAAACAATTACAAAAAATATGGCTTTTTAGGAAAAATTAAATTTACTGTTACATTTAGAGTTGAAGCTACAAATCGTGAGAACAAGCGAGCTATGACAGCCGAGTCTTTAACGTAACATGTAAGACGATATACCAGGTGGGCTGAAAAATTTGTAGGCTGATATACAGATGGCGTTACTAGGATTAAATCCCCATGGTTTTCAGTTAATACTAACCTTATCTAGACACAAGTAAAAAATTTTCAGTTGTCCAACCGTTGCGCATTGGTTTTCGAGATATAGCATTAGAAGTAAATTAACTTTTATTAGTGTTCGAAAAATGGAAAAAAATATGATTGAAGCAAAACCATGGTTTGATAAACATTATTCAGACCCTGCACATGTAAAATTAACGGTGGAAAAGTGGTTTGCAAAGTTTAAATGAGGTGATATGAGCATCGAAGACGATGAAAACAGTGGATGTCCCAAAGAGGCTGTCATGGATGAAAACACCAAAAAAGTACACAAATTATTTTGAATGGTCGAAAAATGACATTCATCAAGATAGCTAAGACCCTGATCATATCCAAGGAACGTGTTCGTTTTAGTTTAAAAAAATATTTGAACACGCAAAAGGTGTGCGGAATAAGTGCCGCGCTTGTTGACTCTTGATAAAAAAAAAAAAAAATGAGTCGATGATTCTGAGCACTGTTTGAAGATAATTAACCGCAATAAAGCCAAGTTTTTTCGTCGATACATCACAATGAATGAAACATGGATTTATTACTACACTCCAGAGAGAAATTGACAGTCATCCGAGTGGACTAAACGAGGTGAGCCATATCCAAAGCGTACAAAAATGCAGCAGTTGGCTGGCAAGATTTTGGAATCTCTTTTCTGGGATGTGCAGGGTCTTATGTTTACTGATTACTTAAAATAAGGCTGGACGATAAACAACAACTACTACACTAAGCTATTAGATGAATTGAAGGAACAAATCACGAAGAAACAACCTTAGTAAAAGAAAAAAAGTTCTTTGCCATTAAGACAATACACATTGCCACAAATCAATTAAGACAATGGCAAAATTACACGAACTTTGGCACTAATCTTTATCTACTTTATTCACCAGATTTGGACCCTAGCAACTTTCTTCTGTTTGGGGACTTGAAAAGAATACACGCTGGAAAAAAATGTCAGACAAATCAACAGCTCATCGCTGAAACTAAAGCTTATTTTGAGGGAAGAAAAAAATCTGATCATAAAAATGGCATCGAAAAAATTATTCGTCGCTACACTCGCTGTATTTCCCTCGAAGGTGACTATATTGAATGGAAAAATTTAATTTTACAAAAAAATACATTTTACTATGTTAGCTAACTAACTTTTCAGCTCACCTGGTTCGTGTTCATACTCATACAGCGATCGGAGTTCGTACGTCATGCATGCAGAACGTTCATACTGATCTCTGTCTGATAACATTTACAGGAAGTACCATGAGCGTAAATATCATGACATAATATGCTGATATGAGCAGTTCAACGTATAATGTGCACATATTCAGATGTACAAGAGAATTTATAAACACACAAAAAGTTAAAAGAGACTAACTTTTTATTGGAATTTTCGAAAAACTTATACGAATGAAGACAAATTCGACTAGCACAAAAGCAGGTTAACTCTTTCCCTCATTAAATTTTTTTCTAGATTAGTTATCAAAATTCTTTTAAAACACTCTTAAAGTACTTCAAACAAGCTTTTGTTTGAGCACTGATAAAATTCAAAATGTTGACTCCGTCATGAAATACAGCTGACTTGAGTTAAGGATTCAGACTCAAAGAATCCGTTCCATTAGATTTCTTAAATCACTTCGAACCACTGGAACTCTTGACTGCGAGAACATTTTTAGCTTCATCAGCGCTTAAATTGACAAATATTTAATAAACTGTTATTAAAATCTTACTTTGCTAAAATATATACGTTTCATGAAATGTTATAGCTGAAGTTATAAAAATCTTGATCCTTACAATTTGTTGGTAGGAAATAAGCCGTAACTTCTTATACAATTATTATTTATAACTTTATCAGAGCTTTAAGTACAGTGCTTCGAACGAGCTTTCACAATTATTTCTGTCTTAAGTACAAGCATTTTTCAAAGATTAACAACTGTTTGTTGACTTACGTACAATCTACGTTTAAACGTGAATGAGAAGACATGCGTATCATAATATTGACTTTTATAAATCATCATGCGTTTAGTATAGAAACCAAGTACAAACATAACTTAGAACATAACGTACAAAGAAGACATTTAATATGGCTCTAATAAGTATACAAACAGTATTGATACATTTATCATCGTATCAATTGGCGCATATATACAGATGGCGGCACTTTTATATAAGTACTCTTTAAAACCATCCATACATGCCCTTCCTCGATAAAAAAATATACTTACGATACACAATCTAAATTCATAAATTTTCTATTGCAAGGAAATTTCTTAACAAAAAAATAAAAATGAGAAAAATATCCTCCTGGGTGCGGCTCACAATCCTCAAAATCCGTTGAGGCAGTTGTTTCCTAAATCAAAAGTATCAAAAAGGGTACGAAATTTTCAGCAAAACTCATATAAATGTCGGAAGTTTTGTGTAAAAAATTTTAAATCGATTTACCACGTAGTTATTGAATATTATCATCATAACATTTCTTATTTTTATCATCTTTTAACGTAGGAGCAATGCTATTTAGTCTCATTATCTTAAAAACTATAACTTACCGAGTACCGAATAACAATTGAAAAACTGCTGAAAAATACGGATTTTCAAAAAACTGTTCTCTGTTTGATTTTGAAAGATAACCAAGTGATTATCACGCATATGACAACGTCGCATTTTCAGCTGATTACAAGCCATATGTAAGTAGATGGATGTATATTTTTACGTACATATATGTACACGCATAGACATTTACTTTCATTTATTGAGTATAGGATCATACATAAAATCTTTTTGCGATACCTAACGTAAGCTTAATATTGTACACATACGTATTTATGCGGCATATATATTTAAAAACAACTTCCCTAATTTAAGCTCTGATAAGGTTAAAAATATTCACATATATTGAAGAGTTCCAGCGGTTTAAAGTGATTTTTCGAAATCCATCGGAACGGATTTTTTGCGTCTGAAGCCTTAACTTAAATCAGCTGAATTTTTTGACGGAGTCAACACTATAAATTTTATCAGTGCTTAAACAAATGCCTAATTTAAGAACATTAAAAGCGTTACTATAGAGTTTTAATAATTTACACGTAAAAAAAAAAAAAAAGAAATTATAAGCAAAATACCTAATAACCCTCTTTTGTGTTAATCGGATTATTTTTTTTTTAATTTAATTTATTAATCGGATTTCGTGCTATCGCCCAAATTTTTAAAAAAAAGCTAAATGATAATTAGTATCCCTTAACTTTCGGATGTTTACGAATTTTCTCATACTTCAGCATGTGTGAGGAAAAGAAAACTGTATTCTATAGGTGTGCCTTGAATTTCACTTTTTCTCCAAACAGAGAGCTTTTAAGTGCACATCAAACGTAGAAATGCTCATCTTCGCTATGTAAATTTCTCCTAGTGATCTCCGGTGGTTCTAAAGAGAATGAGCCCCTGGGAAAATTATAGCGTTCTTCATGTAAAGTAGGCAAATACCGCACAACAATTTTTGATAAAATCTTAAAGTCAAAGCATAACTTTCATTGACTGTATTAGTAAAAGCTGTAAATAAGTAAAAAAAAGAGTTTATGTGGTTATTTTTGACGAGGATATTTTTAGTAATCATTATTTCATGCATGATGATTTATACAACCACAAAATCGTCTACAGGATTTTAAACTGACGTATACTGCGCTTGCGCAGCAGACGATAAAGAGAATGCAACATGTTTTTTTATTCGTTTACTACATCATTATTACTAATAACATCACTTACGCGGCAAATATTTTTATGAAATACTATATATCATTCTATATAAATATAATTATCTGAATTTATTCTATCTTAATCTACAACTTTTACGCAAGTAACAGGTCAAAATAATGCCAAGTTTTAAGATCTAAGTTCAATGCTACTATATGTGAATTATATTGAAACTTCAGTGTTTTAAGAACTAGCAATATTATCGCCATGTGCACTTCAACAAATTATTTTATCCCCTCAAAACCAACTTACATAGTGATTACAATACAATCAGTCTTGCCTTACGACTCAATGTATAATTAAGGCATGGCTTAATTTGCATTACAATTATTCATATGCTAAAAAAGTAATGTACATCACCTATCAAATAGTTATTTATACTTTTTTACAAGACTATGAGAAATTGTCTCATTACAATGCAGAATTACTGTATGATTTAAAAAGTTTATCAGCAGTATTAATTTATGAACCTCATAAGTGATCATATGATTAAAACATTGTTTCTATAATTTATTTGTGTCATTGTCATTAACTTGCACCAGCAACATATTGTTATATCATATCATTATACATTATTAGACAATGTACATTTATGACGAAAATTTACTATAGTTAAAACGTAGTTTACAGCTTCTGCTGTAAACATCGATGTAAAAGCAAATAGTTGGCCATATATTCCTTTTCGACTGAAAGTTTTTTTCTCTTTTACTCCAGAAAA